TGCTCTTCGTCCCTGAAACAGTGTACCGTGGAAGAAAGTGAAGCATCGACTTGTTTTTTAAGATCCAAATAAGGTCTGTGTAAGACCTGAACAATGACAAAATGAGACTGAAAACGCATACAAAACCCTTCATCAATCTGTACAACCGCGAGGATGGAATGTTGTGAACAACACAACTATCGTCAGGCAAGGAATCTCAGTTCAACCAGCCAGTGATTCGAGGATTGGGTTAAAAACTCCTTCCTGTCATTTAATAATTCCAAATTAGCTCTGCCTACTTCAGCGAGGTGTTGGAAAAGGGAAACAGGCAGCCAGCTTTCAAGGTCATTCCACCGACACCTCGTGAAGAAAACCGGTGATGGAGACAAAATTGGCCCAAGTTTATCGTTTAGGTCATGCAACCGACAGGTAACTTGCACGCACATCTCCCAAAGTTGACCCACTTGTGTGCAACTTTTATCATTACTTAGATGAAATTATGCAACCCAGCTGATGGCTTAATGCTCCACCCCATCTTGGCAACGTCAACAGGCCATCCACCGATTTTGTCGCAATTTTAATAGTTGATCTTATTTTAACCATTTATATCCATCATAAAATTTTGCAACTACGAAAACAAGATGGAAATGTGAAAAGATTATGGGACTGTACACTGCTTTCCAATCAACAAATTCAACCTTCTGCTGTACCAAAAGGCATTTTGTCAATGACACATTGCCAAAAAATGCTTCCTTTTTCCAGCTTTTTTTGCGTTTGGACGTTGATTTTAAAGAATGAGACACAAAAGTTACCAACGACACTTATTTATGCCATTAATATAAATTGGAGAAACACTTTAATTGTTGAAATATTTAAGTAATACATAAATAGGCAATTTGTTAACTTTGCCGATTAGTGATTAGCTTTTAAAAAGGGTAAATCCTGGATCGTAGATGCCATATGAGAGAATAATAGTAGTTTTTGACAAGGACTTTCTATGATTTAGCGGAATATTTGGATGGAATTCAAGACCCACGTAGGTAGGACCAAAAGTGACGCCTGAATAGAAGTTAGTGCCCATCCAAAAAATGTTCAGGACAAAAGCGTTTTGCAATTAAGTGCACCGAATTTTATGAGGTAGGTTTCAAATGAATGGTGGAAAACGATTTGACAAGAACTCGAACTAAAATTACACGCATCATGCCAAACGGCAAAAGTGAGGAAATTTGGAAGTGCGGATTAGGGCGTCAAATCTAATCAGACATTCTGCCTGCAATGGGCGACCCATATTAATTCAAATGAAGGGATTAACTGCGTGGAACTGCGGAGGAGTCAATGAGAAAAGAAGCACAATTCCAATGAAACGCAGCTGCCAGGTTATGCGGTAATGGCTGATTTCGATTTCGCAATTACCGCGAAGACATTAACAAACAGAATGGCTCGTAAAAGCATTTGGTCGGTTTGTACATAAATGTTGCGGCAAAGGCTATACTGAACATCCTCTGTTGCATCCACCACAGGTATATAAATCGTGGAGGAGTTCTGATAAACTTAAGTCCAGTGGCAAGACGAAAGCGTGAACTGTGTCTTTACAATGTACATATACTACCTTTAGGAATGCCCGTGCTGATCCCTCGGATGCTGAGTAACAACAAATGAAAAGAATTCTAAAAAAGGTTTCATGCAGATGCCAAAGTCAATAGTTTGTGTTTGTCCATATTGCATTTTACATAAAAAAGGCGTCTTAAGGCGGCACAAATTAAAATAACGCTCTTAGTTAAATAAGTATGTCAGTACTCTTGGTGCATATTTTTCATGTACTAATTAAGGATTTTACTTAAGTTCGCTAATACTTAATTTATAAGTTACTACACCCATTTAGTACTTTAAATAAACATTCTAATGCTTTCCTCAGGCCAGTTTAATTTCAGCATGGGGACATTTTTCGGCGGTAGGGTTGGAGATGGTGTGTGTTAGTTTCCGACTAAGTTGTAGGTGCGTTGCGTTGGAAGTGCTTGGTTTTTAGTCGCAAATGTGTAGCAGAAAAGAGGAGACACTTGAAAGAGTGGTAAAAACTATGGGGTTCGGCTTGGTAGTTGTATCTACTAGCAGTAAACTCTCATGTATGGCCACCAGTTTACTGGGCGTTGGATGTTGCAAGACGATTACGGTTATTCGATCCACGCTTTGTTTGCATTATAGTCACGACAGACTAGGCATTCAAGGGCACATTACGGCTTACTCCTACCGAATGCTTGCTATAGTGAACAGGTTTCATGGGAAAGGATGATCTCTCCTATTGTGGAGGGTTTGATTAGTTTGGGGATTTCCTTGAGTTGTCTGGGAATGCGTCTTGAACGTGAGGATAATGTCAGTGCCTTTGCGTTACAAGTGGGGATATTGCTTAGTTGGTGAGATCTTTCAGAAAGCTACAATTCGATTGACTATTCATAGTCTAGTGGAAAGGTCTTTTATTCTTAGATCGCTCTAATTTCTTACCTCGGCAGAAGTGCCAAAAGGTCGGTCTCTACATAAATCACAAAGTCACGGATCACCGCGACCGGATCCTAGTTCTCAACCTTCTCTACTCTTATTTTGCCTAGAGGTGTGCTATTTTACTCTCAGCTGCTTCGTGGAACACCTCTAGACGAATTACGTAAATAATAGATGAGGAGTATTAAGTGTAATGTACAAGCACTAAACCGCTTCTTCTAATTTTTTTTTTGTGAATAACTCTGTGATGAGAGGAAGCTCTAGAGGTGGTAGCGTCTGGTCGGTCGAATCATTCGCTGTCCTCGCCCAAAGTTGGCATTCAATGCCATTAATTCGGGCGTAACTTTTTCCATCTTAATCGGTAACACGTATTTATTGTAGAGTAGGGCGGAATCGCTCTGTCTAGCATCCATTTTTCTTTGAATACTGTCTTTTTACTCCTTTTTTTCGTCACACTGAAGAATGAAGGCCGAACTCAGTAAGGCAGTGAATAAGAGAAAAAGTAGCAATCTTTTTTGCATGGCTGAACTTTTATTTTTTACACACGGATTCCTGTATCAACGTGGCACACAAAATTCAACTCTCATTATTAACTCAGTCAATCCCCAAATAATGCTAAATTCGGGCGAAATTCGACTAAGATTAGGCTAAAACGAATGAATGATAGGAATAAAACTTTATTCCCCTTACGATTTCATTTGACTAACGTTTATTTTACTCTTCACTTTTTTGAGAAAATGTGGAAATTTTGGGACGAATGTTTGCAAAAGAGCCTTTTAAGTGGTCAAGTAAACTCGAAGAAGTAAAACGTAACCAGAATATGCCTACTGATGAAACAATCTACATCATAGCCGAACCATTTTGGTCAATTTTTCTCCAGACTTGATTTACTTTTCCCAACTAGGCTTTTAAAACTACCAGTGGACAATGGAGTGGGAGTGTTGCTTGACTCTGGTTTTGTCACCGCTACGAATGCAAAGCAGCATCACTTTTTACTCTGCTGGGATTGTATTTACTTCGAAGCTTTCGAAATCCCATTATCAGAGAGGAAGCAAGTTTCGGATTTGCGCTCTGCTTGAGGTTAGTCCATATTTCCTCAACAGCCTTGGCGATAATTAGCAGATGTCTCGTCTGGGGATCAGCTAGATTTAATTAGCAGTCTCGTTTCTCTTAATACAGTGGAAACAAATATTTATGCCATACTTCAAAGCGTTTCGGCCAGACAGTGATTCATATGTGACGTCTTGCCAATAGGGGTGTTGAGACTATCACTTTATCTTTATTTGCTCAAGTTTTTTTTTCAAATTTTTTTTTTCACCATAAAAAAATGTGTCAAAGTGAAAGTAGAGATTATAGCCATTCTTACATCTGAACTACTTACTCCATAGTTTCGGTAGTTCTGGTGTGTCACGATAGTATCGAAGAGTAATCCAGTGCGGTTTTTATTATCCTTCTCAAAGACAATCGTAACCCGGAGGCATGGAAAGGAGGAGCGCTCCTTTGAACACTTATTTTCACATTTGAGTCTACCAGCGAGGTGGAGCTCGATCTTCGCCACTACGCAGATACCGGGCTCAAATTCGGATTCGTGGAAGTAGGGCAAAACAAGCATGTGGACGAGAAATGAGCCAACTATGAGGGAGGTGGTCAAGGTCACTGCGCAGACAATGTAGGTGACCTTAATGAGAGCCACTGTAGAGCGGCGTCGGGGACGTGATCTCACAGTCATGCTTGGCATCTCATTTCGTTACATCTCGAGCCTTGGGTATGCCTTCATCAGCGTTGAAGCCAGAGGAGTAACCTGCCCTCCTCTGGATTGTGATTGGTCCATTTACTTGACCAATAGGACGCTCGGATTGCCTGGAACGTTGAGTTTCTTGAGGTTAACGCAGGAACACCCCTCGCTCCAGCATAAAAATGTTCCTGTGTTTAAATAATTCGGAACTTTAAAGGCAAAGTGTCCCTTTATGAAGGTGTTCACTTGTAACATCGTTTTATCTTAACTGTAATCAGTCAACTTGATGAAGGGAAAGATTATACACACCTTTGTGTTCCATTAGTTTAGCATTCAAAGCCACAGTGTAAAAGGTTGTTGACATAAAGGGTGTTACAATTTTTTTTGCATTTCATGCTAACATGATGGTGAGGAGCCAGATAACTGTAGGTTTGTGTTTAAATGTTTATTTTATTGTCACTATAAATACATGCTCTTTTGTGATAGCCAGAAATCACAAAAAAATTATTCTTATGATGACTCCTTGTAATTCTAAAAGGCACAAATGTTAATTAAAGGCCTACCTCACAATTTTACCTTCATTTATTGTATAGAAAAGGAAACATCAGACATACCAGCAAATTTTGGATGGCATATGATTGTGAATTTGGAAAAGCAGGAGCTCACTTTTCATTGGAGATGGAGGCAACGTTCTGCCTTAACCCCTTGTCCACCTCTCATTGCAAAGGAGGGTAAACAGTCGATGCTAAGTGAAGAGTTTGGATGCACAGGTTTCGTTGACCACTCAGTTGAATTCACCTGCTCCACTCACTTCCCGGCTAAAAACTAGCCTGCTAGCTGCGCTTTGATGAGACGCCCAAAATTCCCTTCCAAATGGAATCAAGACGAGCAGTTTTGCGTTGCCAGTCAAGCGGCCATGAAAAATGCTGCTGAATGGTTGAGTGTAACAGTGGCAACAAAAGGACTTCCCCAGACTCGTATTTTGTTTGTGAAATTGGGCCACTAAGTGGGCGATTTGCATTGAGCATTGACAGTGGTGGTGGTAGCAGTGATGATTAATCGTGGGGGAAAAAAAAGTTGTCTCACTCTCAGCCTCACTCTTGACGATGACTGAGTGGAACCGTTCTTAGCCCTTCTTGAAGTCTAACCAAGTTAGTACGCTTGGGGCTTGGGATGGGTCCATTCGCACGCCGCTGAAGGGAAATGCATTGGCTGAGTCATTTTAAAACCTCTTCCAATCGTCACGACTTGTAGTTAATGTGGGTGTGTTGAGACAATTTAATTGGTGACTTTTTTTCATTTGCTACAAGACTTTCAACATTTACATAAATGCTCTTCATGTGATTCTATTTTACTTTTCCTTCTTCCACGTTTTATTTGTTTTTTTTTTAAATTTAAAGTAAAGTGGATAAAAGTATAAGTTGGATTTGACAAGTCGTGCATTTTACACTGATCGGTGATGTGAGACTGTCACAAGTACCCCCCCCCCCTTTTTAATAATGCATTATCATTCCAATTTGATGTATTTTTATTGCTGCCTGATTCAGATGACAAACACATCCGTGAAATGCGGGGCAAGCGATCGCCACAGAGTGGAGCAAACTGCGAGTTGTGCGACTTTGGTGGGCCCCAAATGACAGCGTTCGCTTAGACTCCCGCCTCAAGTGTGTCGACCGAAAGGGAAGGCAGGAATTCGTCTCAGACACTGAAACCGAGAGAACATTCAACCCGACACAAGCAAACAAGTTAGGCCGGAGTAGTTAAAGGTAGTGAGTTGGCACAATCGGTGCTTAAATTAATGAGAAAATGTCTTCTACTGGGAAGTAGGTCGTGAGATTGTGCATTTCGTGGGGAGTGGAGGAGGCAAGAGGCGTTTCTTACTGTTTAACTCCTCTTCAGCACCTTCCCCTCCTCCATGTTGGCAAAGGAGGGAGAAGAGAATTAGGACTTGAACGAGGCGCTTCAAGCGATTTGATAAAAAGGTACCCTCTAAAATTTAAAATAAAAAGAACACTTTTTGTGCAATAAGGTTTTCAAACCTCCCAGGAGCAGTCAGTGGGATACTTGCCTGTTTCTCTCCTTTCGAAAATCTTGCTTTTTTCTACGTCCTTCCTCTATAGAAGCTGCTCCTCATTTTCCGCATTCGTCTTTACCTCTTTACAGTCATTTTGTAGCCACATTTGGCGATTCCTGGTGGAGGCGTCAGTGCAAAGACGAGATAGCGGTGAGTCCGACGTCACACCGTTTTTCAGCTGTCATTCTCCTCGACGGAAACTTTTTTCCAATCAAGTTTTTCTCTTCCAAACCTGTCATAGACTTTCAGAGGGAGTTAAGCGTTTGACAAGTTCTCTATTTAATCGTAAAAATGTAGTCAAGTGGATTGGTGAAAGACCTTTAAGTGGCAGGTGAAGTTAAGCACAACTGTAGCACGACATTCTCTGTTTACCCCACAACTAAAAAAAGCTTTGATTAGTTCATTCAAAAGACCTTCATTTGTCCTCTCAGAGCCTTGTAAACCATCTTCTCTTTGTTTTGTCAGTAGCATATTCGCCCACAGTAGTCAAAGGACCTGTCAATGAGGCCTACCAATTGATGCGTCAGTGTATGACAATTGACACGCCAAACGCAATCTAAATTGTAATTTTAGATGTCGAAAGCACGCCATTGAGTTCGGTGGAGTTTTTAAGAGTTCGCTGGTTTTGTCTGTCCTGATTGTCACTTAAACGTGAGAGATGGTGGAGTGTGATGTCGCCAACCGAAGATCGGTGTCCGCCTTCCTTCTCCGCTGGAAGTGGTGATGGGAGACGTGAGTAGCTACCATTTAATCACTCTACTAAATTACAAAATAAAAATCTCCAATTTCCTTTCATATTTGACAGCTATTTCGGTAGGATTATTCTGCTTTTTCTCATACCTTATTGCAGCCATGAAAGGAGGTTTTAAACAGCCTCAACTCCACTTTGAGTTGTTTTGAGGTGATTTTATCAAATTGGAGCGGATCAGCAGTTGAAGTTCATCTTCTTTCTGCCTTCTTCGCTGAGATGATTTGTGGGAGATGTCAGGGGTAAGAGATTTGCTTCTCCATATTGTCAGAGTAGGCAGTAAGATGTTTTGGTGACAAAACAGAACAAAATTTTTCTCCAAAATACATCATGACAAGATTACCTTTTACATTACCATATAAGCAAAACATCTTCAATGTTCTACCAACTTTATAAACCAAAAAAAGGCGGTAAAATGAGCAATGTGATTTGCCTCGCAAAGGCGTCTCGGTCCTCCCGTTGGCATCGACAGCGCCCAGGCTGGAGTTGGGAGTGCCTGAGAGTCGTGAGAACTGAGGAAAGCGTGATTGCGCCCTGTTATGGCGCCAGAGTGGAGCGGGTTTCGT